TGGTAAGTTTGCACGCTAGTACTCTGCATTCTTTTCTAGAATCCTTTACGGTAAGAGCTACACGCAGCAGCTTCGTGCTCTTTCTGAGTGGTTTAAAACCCCGGTTCCGCCTTGGGCACCACTCCACCTATGTATCTTCTGGATACCTACTTTAACAGGGTGTTGCTACTAGGGGTCTGTTGAGACAGTTCCTTCAGCATATACAGAGTGTGCGGTAGCCCCTGTGTGACAGGCCAAGACTAGTATGATTCTAGGCTCTTGGTTGTATTCTTGGTCGTATTCCCTTAAAGGAATCTATTCCTGATTCCAAGCCTTGAGCTCTACCCCAGGCCCAGGAGTCTGGCCCTAACAGGTAAGTATTTTGGGGTATGTAGCCTAGGCCTTTGGACGTAGGGAATAATGTCACTGACAGCCGTCTAACGTCCCAGGGGCAAATCATAATTATATAGAATGAATAACAACCTACTAAACAATGGCAAAAAATACTCTTTATACATACCTGGACGAATCCTAACTGTCACATATTAAAGTATAAATAATTATTATTTTTTTAAATTATAAATTATATAGATATATTTTATATATATAATTATATATTATATGTATTCCACCTTTTAATGTGGAAACCCATCACTGTCCAATGAAAGATGACACAACACTATACATATCTTGGACTGATTCTTGACACACTTTCAACATTCAACACATGTTCAAACTTGTAAAGCAACTTCTAAGTTCAGCAGCGTTTCCTGACAATGAACCTTTCATTTGAACTGACTGAATAACAGCAGATGAGAGTTTAGATGACTGACTGTTATTCTTCTCATTCTCACAACTCTTTCTGGTAGAAGTGAAAGAAATTTCAGAGCTGCTGTTCAACACAACACTTCAGAGGAAGACAAAGACAGGTGTACAAACCCTGAGGTGAGTGTTTCTTTCTCTAGTTGTTTTCATGTACGAGAGTCGTCTTATGATGTGTCATTGGTCACTTTGTGCTTCTTTAATGCTGTGCTGAAGGTGTTTTGATGGTTTTATTTAAAGCTCTTCATGTCGTATTCAAACAGATGATCAAGTGTGTCTTTGTCAGTGATTCACAGAAAGCTGCAGATTCTGATACTGTTGTCGCATGGTGTGAAATCAGTTTCTCATTTTACCATCAGTGTGTATGTGATTCTCAAACAGTATTTGTCATACGCTCTTAACTCTTTGAGAGAGAAACTATCACTCAGCATCAGCAGCCAGTTTTGATGTAATATTATGGTAAACTCAATAACAGACTCATTCAATGAAATCAGCAGCATTTCTACTTCATTAACACTCTTTTACTTTAGTTCACTCTACAGTAAGTGTTAAACAGCAGAGTTACAGAAATACAAGTAACTCCCAAATATAGAAAAACTCCCATATTGAAAGGTGTTCATAAATGTTTGATCACTTTTGAATTTAGATCTTGGAAAAGTAGAGCTGAATAGCTTTATACCATAATAATGATTTATAATGAATTCACACATAACCTGTACTTTCATGCTTGTGCTGAAATCATCTGAAGTTTAGAGACATTTATCTGAAGTAAAGTAACCCTGAAACATGATTCAGAGACATAAAGCTGCTTTCTGGAAACCCCTCCAGCTGTAAACAGTTTCAGCACAGAGTCAAACCGGTTTCATTTGTTTTCCTGAAATGGTTGTGGTTAAACTAGTTCTGAAGATGAACATCTTTCTGCAGTGGTTTCAAGGTCACCAGTTATTGACTATTACAGTAGTGTTCTTCCCCCACAAATAAAGTAAATATAAATATCAGAAGCAGTAAGAACATATTCATGGGTCATTTCTATTAATTCTTTCCATGTTTCACTGTGTTGAGCTGCTGTACTTCACAATGAAAACCAGTTAAATGCTCTTAAACTGCAGTAGAGCTACATGTGAGTAAAGTACACTAGTGTTCAGCTGCAGCTCATAATTATCTTACACTTCACACAGACACACAGGAAAGAAAATGTCTCCTTTCGGGTCAGACTCCAGCTATACAAACTGGACACAGACACCTAGAAACAATCTCAAACACAGAAACACACAGCTTGACACTGGATTTTCCGTAGTTGATGACACTATAAAACTGTTCATTTGCATTTCAATTAATTTGCAAAAAAGCAAAGCTAACAACCATCAAGCCCTGTTTTAGGTTTATATGTAGGGGAGAGTGGGGCACAAAGTAACACTTTGACTTTCTCAGGTTCAGAGTATAATTTTTTTATCCACAGTAATTTCACACTTGTCTAGTACAAATATGTTGCTTTGTTTCATAATTACAGTGTATACGTTTTTCTTTATTTACCCTCAAAAATTGGAAGTGAAATGTGACAACATACCCTGTAGGTGGGGTACATTGTAACATCGGAGGGGCACGTTGTAACATGACCATATGACAGCTTAAAATGTTATCTGATCTAACTAAAAAAATATACAAGACAAACTAAAATATTTTGTCAATAAAATAAAATAATTATTTATTTCAAATAAAATAATGGCGTTTTTTAAGAATTAAAAATAATCTGATTTTGTAGTTTGACAATGAACACATTGCAACCATGCTTGGGACGGCCATGCGTTTCAACATGCCCCATCTGCGCAACTGGAATTTAAAACTGGTTACTGTCTTCTGATAGTTAGCAAAGCATTAAAAAATAATCTAAACTGATAAATAACAGATTGGAGATTAAAATAATAGCAGATTTGTTAGTTGCAGAAGAAGATCTGTAAAGTTGCAAAGACTAAAGTCTCAAATCCAAAGAGATATTCTTTATAAAAGTTAAGAGTCAACTACGCCTACCTAAAACGGCTCGTTCTAACACGCCCCCACATATCTACCTCACTATGTGGGAAGATGTTTAGTTTCTGAATGAATCCGTGTTTTGAACGAATTGTGTGAATCAATGATTCAAAGGCCTATTCATAAAGTAGCCTAAGCTGTTAGAATGAAAGACTCAAAGACATTTACCGCCACCTGCTGGCAGTTTTAGTTTCTTATTTAAAATATTATTTAAAAAAAAATAATAATAATAAAAATTTAAAACTGTAAAGGGATAGTTCACCCAAAAATTTTTTTATAAAAAAATGATTATGTCATTATTTAGACGCAAACCGGAATGACTTACTTGCATTTGTGGATCATAAAAGAAGCTATTTTGAAGACTGTTAGTAACAAAGCTGTTTTGGTTACAAATTACTTCCATTGCATGAACGAAAAAAAAAAAACATGTTTTTCAAATGATCTTCTTTTATGTTCTATAGTTTATGGAAGGCCATTGTAGCCTGAACATTTATGTGTAGTAAATTTTATGTTGAATCAAATAAAATATTTATTTCTAAAGCTACTATTTGTAATACTTTCTCATTTAACAAAAAAAATAGCATTAAATAATCTTTTGGGGGTATTTTCACAGCCAAATGTAATTTGCGATTAATTAGATTAATTAATCGACACATCATGTAATTAATTAGATTAAAACTTTTAATCGACTGACAGCCCTAATATATATATATATATATATATATATATATATATATAAATGTGTTTATGACTCACTTATGACTTGTTATGGTTATGACAAGCTGAGGACTAAATCTCTTCTATTGAAGGACTTTAATATAGCAGTGTTATAATTTATGCTGATCTTGATGTGTAATGTGTTATTATCAGTTGTTATTATGCACAACATATTGTTTACTGTTCCAACTCATGAAAAAAGGTGTAGCATTCAAGCCCATTCCACAAATCACCGTAATTATGCTAACAGGCAATGCCTCAGAGAAGGCAGATTTTGCATAAGCACAAATAAATCCTGCAGAAGACTGTTTACATTCATCCGCACCCCGTCTCCTCCCTGAAATAACCAGATATGGAGCTTACACACCTAGTTTACTATGCATTACCTACTTTGAATACAATTTACATATGCATATTCCCATCTGACACTTTAGCGGTTCAAGAAAATATGAGACAATGACTGTAATGTCATCACATTTGCTGAAGATCATTTAGTGTCCTTGTGAAGAGAATGGTATAAAAGTGACTGTAAATGATCAGAGGTGATGTTTAGCTATTTTAAACAGACAGAATATATTATTTACAATACAGAATATGTTTAAATGTTTAACAAAACGATTTACAACAATATAAGGCTGTTTAATTACTGTAGTGTTTGTGATTGTTTGTCTCTTCACTTGTTTGTCAGCGGTGGAGATCAAACTGTTCAGATCCATCATGAGTGAACCACAAACACCTGGAGATGAAGATTTGTTTCCAGGACACAGGTACTTTGAGTAACACATTAAATAATCTTTTGTGTTATAAAACAAGTTTATTTTGTGTATGTTTTTTATGTTTAATATTTATTTGAAACAATAAGACCATAAAGGCTCCAAAAGTCTTTTTCATAAAAATACCTTTTGAAGTATATTAAGATGAGTATTTTATTATATTAAGATGATTCTCATAATAAAGGGTTAAATCTGTTCTGTTTTAGCTCAGTTCATCAGAAGAGATCAGAAGCAGAGCCCAGCTGTGTGTCTATGAAGAGTGACGGGTCTATGCATGAACCAATGAAGTTTAAGAGTGGAGATACACGGCCTGATCTCAGGTATAACGTTTTGTAGCGTCTGGACCAATCAGACACACCATTTGTCATTTGATTTAACAAATCAATTAGTCATTAGATTAACAAATCGTCACAGTCCCCTCACCCAATAAACTGGATGCCAGGATGTCTGCAACGACACAAGGCCCAGGACCCTGGTTACCATGGCAACCCTGACACCAGATACATTTACGACCTAATGGAATTTAGGTGCGGAAAATCACTGCCTTTTCCATAAGGAAAATCCACAAATGCACAGTAGAAATTGACTTTTCTACTAATTAATTCATAGGAAAACCTTTCTTTGAATGAACACACAGATCCTTCAGGTCATTGTGTATAGTATTGCGGTCTTGTATATTATCTGTTGTATTGTAGACTATTTTATGCATGCTTATGATAGAACCACTCATTCATGTAACCTTACATATAACGTGTTTGGTCTCTATTAATTGAGTTGGGCTTGTATCAGGGGAAAGTCTTCTGCTTTGTTCATCTGAGCCTTCAGGAACATCTAGCAGCTCTATATGTGCACCTCTCCTTTACAATCAAGAACAGAAATGTGTTTGACCAAACCAAACAAAGTCGGTTGTCTAAGATTTTTCAGATGAAATATAATTCACTATCTGAGCTGCATCAGAGAGCTGTGGTTGAAGCTTTACAGAGTAAGAATGGACACCTGGATCTTTTCCTGCGTTTTCTTCTGGGTCTCTCAGTGGAGTCCAATCAGACTCTCTTACGAGAACTACTGACACAGACAGGAAGCTGCTCCTACAACAAAGA